TTTCGCAACGTTCGTGCGCACCCTCCTGTCACGGTTCATATTAACGGCCGCGGTTTATTTATTATGAAACGTTTGCTAGCTGACCGAAGGGCCAGATCGATTCACTCTTCGATAGGCACGTCGAAAATGCTTTTCGTCCATAAATCGCTGCGGGTCGCCTTGATTTCTCTTACAATATCAAACGCTGCAGCATTGACATTACATTTTACGCTAAAAGCAATACGCAGAATTGCTTCAAAATCGTGTGAATAATCGGGTGCGCGAAACGTGGAAGCGGGCAATATTTCTCACGGCAGGAAGATGTAGATACGTATTTAATCAAAAGAACTCGAGAATATTAGTTGCGCTTTTTCCTTACACACCTAAAAATTGAATTTGTTACAAGATACGGGCTCTGTACCGGCAAAGAAGAAGAAAAAAAACTGCGCGGCATTTTACAGCATCCTCGATAAAAGCCAGTTGAGAAATACATTTTTTCCATTTCTCTTCATTTGATCTTCTTGTAGAGCAGATCGCACAATATCCCATCTATTTTCTCGCGCCGGACAAAGAAAACCCAATCTATCATCAATTTAGCGCGCATAATTCAATCTGTTACAGAATGCTGGTGGATCTTTGGTTGCAACAACGCGAGATCCAGATGAGTTTTTCGCGGGCAGGAAATTGCATTTTCCGCGCCACTCCGCGTCGTGAAAGCCTTGGCGGCGTTAAGCGAATACTTTCCCGTTCGTCCGCGATTCGCAATCCATCCGGCGTGCAGTCATGCAAATAACGCCTCGAACGTATGTCCATATGGGAATCGCACGACCAGCCAGCCGGGGGGGAACGAGAGGAAGACGGAACGCCGACGGGGCTTGGATATAAGGGGGTGCGTGGGGGAGGGGAGGGGGATAGAAAGCATAAAGTCGCGTGGAAATCGCTCTCGTTTGTCGAGTCGTCCGTAAAAGGCGGCGGCGAGGCGGACGTAAGGCCGCATACCGATAATTCCACGGAGTGCTCCGTGGAATTTATGAGGTTTAATCCTTTGCGGAATCCAAGAGAGGCGGCTCTCCGCCTACCCCGGTCTTCCCCCATCATCCCCCATGCCGCAAGGTATACGGCGGCTCAAGGGGATGGGTGGGGCCGGGCCCGGCCCGACGGCGGGGGCCGCACGCCGGAGACGCCGGGGTTCAAAGTGCACGAGGAAGAAAACCCCCGCTCGCGTTTCCTGCCTCACGGCGAAAGAGCGAGCTTTAACGCCGGGCAATAAAATCCGTCGAGTGGCGTAATGCCTATACGAGTGTGATGCTCGCGAGCATAATACCTGAGAGATACGTACACTCTCGCCCTCTCGCCCTCTCGCTCCTCCTCCTTTCCTCCCCCCGCCCCGCGTAGGTGCACGGCACGGGCTCGGTGCGCTTATTTCCTGCGTTATTCGGCGAAACGTAAAGCGGAAATTAAAGCCGATAGACCGGGTAACGGCCCGGCCCGGATAATTATGTTCGTCCCGTTCGCGCCTCTCCCTTATGCGGAATCGGCGCGAGGAGGAGTTTATTTGCATATCGGCCGAGTTAAATCGCTGCGGCCACGTGTCCGGCCGTGCACGAGGGTGGGTCGAAAAGTTTTGAGCCTGACGTAGAAACAATTTTCTTTCGGTCCAACTCACTTTTATTTTTCGACACGCTCTCCTCACGGACGCACCCTCGCAGTTCCGCGAGGTACAATCGAGAATTATCGTCCGCGGCGCGGGACTCGTTCCCCTCGTGCGATTTTCGCTCGACATCGATAAGTGGCGAGGCCGTCGTTCTCTTGCCCGCCTCCGTGCGTGTATCGCCGTGTTTTTTTTTCCGCGGGCACGTCGCAGCAGCAGCAGCGCGCGGACTGCAACTTCCTCGCCCAATTAAAAATAATTGAATGCAAAATCCGCTTTAATTCGCCAACTTTCAGACGGCACGTGATAGGAGCTCGTAATTATGCGCGCGGACTATATAAGGCGCGCACTCCACTAAAAGCGCCTCGCGCCCTCGCGTTTTCTCCTTTTTTTTTTCTTTTACCGTCGCGCCTTTACATTTTTACGACAAGTATGCATCACTCGGCCATGACGGATATACGGCAAAAGATACGGGCGTGTGTCGTGGCTTTTATGCCGAAAAGGGGGCTGGAGGGGGAGGGGAGGGCCCGGCTCGATAAAAGCGACTCCGGGAGAAAGCGAAGTGCTCGTACGCAATTTATTGTAATCACCACTAAACACGGTATGCAACAACTTGCGACTGCGGTGACTTTAGTACCCGTCGATCGCCTTCGCGGTACAGGCAGGACGGGGCGTTACGGAGGCTGCCGTTAATGCTTGACTTTACGCGCCTTCTTGCGGGCGGAAAGAAGAAAAGGGGGAGGGAAAATGGCACGTTCGATGGCTCATCGATCGCGCCGAGCCTATCGTACGCGTTCGTCGCTCATTTACCGAGAACGTGCCGGGCTTTGGTGCTCCACGTTGCCTGGCACTCTGCCCATCGCGGACGATAAAGATCGGCGCGGGGTGTCCGCCTCGCGGAAGACGCGGCGTGCCCCGTAATGGGTCGCATCACTGACGCGCCATTACTCGAATATTTGGACGCGACTTTGAATCGCGGCGCCCGCATACGCGCACGATGGAAAATTGGGTTCTCCCCCGGGTTTAATTGAACGACCGCCGGGCGCGCGCGGTTTCCGAATGCCTGCCCGTAATACGCGAAACGGCGAAATGATAATTGACGTGGACGCTTACACCACTGCCTGCCGCGGGGACCGTTTCGCCGGCACGGCCGCGTTGAAATCGCTCGCTTTTGTTCATCGTCCGTCGCGGTGGTCGACGCAGTTAAATACACGCGCCCTATAAAAAGGATTCTCCGGCCGCTTTGTCGCGAGGACAAAAAGAAGGATGGATTTTCGATCATTTTCCCGAACGCAGTAGACGTCAGCCGACACTCGGCCTTGCCTCCTCTCGTAAATTCCGTTCCTCGATCGAAAATCGTGTTTTTCTTCTCCCATGTTTCTCGCAGGGGAGAGGGCACGTATTATCACCTTGCCAACGAGTACCATCGACATTTTTATTACCGTCCTCGTCACACGCGTCATGCGTGAACGCGCGAACGCACGTCTCCGCTAATATTCCGCCCGTGCTCGCCGCGTTAACACATTTTACGTTTGGCTTTCATTTTACTACATAAGGTAAATCTGGAATTTTTCCATTGTCGTCATTGTTCCATCTTTGTTTCCTGTTTTTCGAAATTTGCGCTTTCCTTTTTTTCGAAAAATTTACATTTTCCCGGACATTCCCGCGACAGAAGAGATTCCCCTGCGAAATTACGTGAAAAAATTCCGCGGTGCGAATTCCGCTCTTACATTCGTACACCTTCGACGAGGTAAGCTTTTTCTCCGCTGAAACCGCTAATTCCCTTTGCGGCGCGCGACAGTAGCTTTTTTCCGCCGGGCTTGAAACATCGGGGAGAGCGGAAGGAATATCCAATTCTGAAAAGATAATAAGGCCGCGCGACACCGTCGATGAGCATCAGCGAAATGGGGTGAGCCACTTTTAGGGGGCGGCTCGGGCGCTTCGCGACGAAAACGAGGTAAAGCGGAGGAAACCGCGATGACTTTCCGCGCGACCTCCGATGCCCCGAAGCCCCTCTTTCTCCTCGGAATTTAATAAAAATCCGAGAGCTTCCGGAATCGAGCTCGCCGGGCTCCACCGGGAAACGTTATGCGTTTCGACTCTCTCGGTGCATCGCTTTTCGATTCTATTTCTTCGCCTCACTTTCCCTATCGCACCCTCTCGTCCCATCTGCGCGTCACCCTCTTGTTCTCTCCTCTACTTCACCGCATCGCGTCACGTCGAGGGACGCCGGTTTCACCCGTCTCGAGTAACTTTCAGACAAATTGCGTCGCCGAGCGGTGCCTGGGTTGACTTTTACGAGGGAGTCCAAGTATTTGTCGCACAATTATTGGTAATACAACGCACGATTCGTTAGCCGGCCAACCGATTAATTGTGCGTCCTGTCGCGAAGATTGAACGCCCGAGTCTTAATTTAAATCTATCTCGTCACAAGAATATTCTTACAGGGATCGCTCTTGCGCAATAATATATAGTTCAGTCTAAGTTTGAAAAAGTATCGATCACAAGAGTATTACAGCCCGAAAGAAGGCGAAGGAAGAGTCCACATGGTGTAAAGGCCTGTGTCCAGGATGCTAGAACTTGGTCCGAGTTCTAGCATCGTGGACACGGGCCTTAAGAATCGAGGCCTTTGTCGTCCGATTGGAAACTGCCCCGCGATTCTTTTTCGCGACCCGAACCGGCAGAACGGACACGTCGAAACTGTGAGAGAAAGAAGAAATTGGAAGCACGTGGCTGCGCGGGATAAACGGGATTGCAGAGCCGAAGCCGAGGCTCTGGGTTAAATACTTTCCCGCTTCGGTATTCAGCTTCGTTTACTCGACAACGCAGATTTTCCCTTTGGCCCGATTCGCAAATGCATTCCTTTTGCGCCGATTCACAGAGGAAAGCGGCGGGCACGGCTGGGCGGATCGATTGTACCCTTTGGATTTATCCTCCTGAGAGACCGCAGGCGGTGTTACACTTTGTAACTACGGCGCAACAACGAAACTACGAAGCTCCATGAGTTTCAGCTATCTGCCGCCCTTTAAGCTTGGCGCGTAAAAAAAGAAACCGGAGGACTTACTCGTAATATTTTACAACTTAATAATGTGAACGCAATTTCTTTGTAATTGCGCGTTTTGTAATTGACAAAAATTGCCAGAGATTAAAAAAGATCGTACCGGAAAACCGAGACGATACCGGTCTTTGATTGATTCGAGAAAAAACTTTGGACGCAAACACGCGAGGGTGAAGACACTGCGCGATAAACGACATATTCACGTATAAATGATAGCGAGTGTGGCGCAGAGAAATGTGCGCTGCTTAGTAAAGAAATGAACGAAAAATCTAATACACGAGGAAGAATTGAAGTATAAATGATTGTACTTACGGTGCATTTCGATCGCTACCGACGTCGACACGGGCTGGCTGATATTGTTATTGGATGCCTGACAATCAAACACCGCATGGAGATCAGCTCTTGACAATTCTCTAACGACCAGCGTGTTCCTACGAAGAGCAGGAAACTCGCCCGGCTCGTCCTTAGAATCTAAAAGCGTCTCCCCGCGCCACCATCTCACTTTAGGCTCGGGGCGACCTGAAAATAAACACCATCAAATTCATCGGCTCCGTCAGAAATAAAAAGTCGATATTAAGTTCAGACACCTTCGTGTGTGAAAATTTAATAACATTTTCAACTCCGGTCCTGTTATCTTTCATTTCCAGCGTTTTCTGTACCAGCGATAATAATATAATACAGAAATAATAATCCTAATTGAAGATATATGAAGATATATGCGCATTTAAAATAGAACGCTATCCTTTACCGCTTGCAATTTAAACGAACTAATTGTTGACAAATAAAATCAAATTATCGCGCATTTAAAATAGAACGCTGTTCTCCGCCGCACGCAATCAAAACGAGCAATTAGACAAATAAAATCCGATTATTAATAACGCCTTCAAGTTTTCCCATTTCCCTGCATCGATATTGGATTATTGAAAAATATCGCGTTAATACAAATTTCACCGAAATACGTGCATCTATAACTTCAATTTTAGACAATATCCTCGTAATAGGGGCAATGATTTTTTTCTCAAGCGCGACACTTTATATCATTTACTCCGTTCCGAAGTTGCCCGAGGATATATAAATTTTTAGAAGTGATGTTTTCCGCGCAAGGAGACCACGCTACAGTGGCATCGACATACCGGCCACACGCTATCCAGCGCAACGTATCACGCGGGACCCTCTCTGCCTTACCACTTGTCCGCGAGAGTTTGCCAAGTTCCGTGGCGTATACATACGTACACTCGCCCCCCCTTTGCCCGCCCACATCGGTGTAGGCTGCGCGGCGCGTTAATTCATAATTCATAATGGTCGTTGCGTGCGGATAATCCCCCCGAGGGTGAATATCCCGTTAAAGGGAGGCGGCGAGTCGGTGGGGCGGTCTGGCTTGTGTACCGGAGCGACCTCATTATTTTTTACCGGACCTATTTTCGTTCGGGAGGGACAAGCGGAAAAACACGGCGCGGCGGCGGGGGAGGGGGCTGCGCCGGGGGTTGCAGGAGCCGAGCGGAATTGTAGGCGGCGGCGAAGAGAACGGTGTAAGAGCCGGGGCATAGCGCTGTCGTGTCCCACGGGTGGCGGCATGCGAGGTAATAAAAATAAATTTATTATCGTTATTGCCTTCGCCTTGCAGACACAGCAGCTCGCGCGCGCGCGCGCCCGGATATTAAAATGTAATAGAATAAAGGGGAGCGCCGAACGAATGCATGCACCGCGACCGCTGTTAGAAGCACTTGACGTTTTGTCGAAGCGTTTAACGACCCGGTGCTCTTTTAATTCTGTATTTACACGAAGATAACGCCGCGCGGTAAGTGGCGTTTCACAAAATCTATGTATGACAATAGGTAAAACGGTATTTATCCGTTCTCTTCGCGGGAGGGGCCGATGTTTCCGCTCGTAACGGGGGCGACGTGTAATCGAGCTATTACAACGCTGCGCGGGTTAAAGACAAAATTATCAGACGCGGTAAAAAGAGCGGCGCGGAAAGGTCACGTCGAGTTCGGAATTTTTAGAAATTCTCACGAACGTGCGCCGCCAATGTGTACGTGTATGTTCAGAGAGACGTTCTTTATTCGCAGTATCAGAATGCGGTCGTGTGAAGTTTTAATTAGACGCTATAACTAAGAATAACACGACTCCGGTCTACGGGATGAATGAGATCGCGGCTGTTTTACATGCGCGAGCGAGAGAGAGAGAGCGGGTTTATATGGAGGCAGAGAAGAGAGATCCATTTCCCACCGGTCGCACCAATTATTCTACCGGCTCTTCCGCGCCGTATTTACGAGGGCAACCTCGAAAGAGAATACTCAGACGTATTTTCATTCGACCTGTCTCTCATTATAGAAAGTAGGACTTACCCCCAGAGACGAGGCACTGCAGTCTCATGTCGCCACCTTCTTCGTAAGGGCCGGCCACCGCTGGGACGGTCTTTCCGCGCTCGTCGATAATGTTCGGCTTCTGCGGCGGCACTGTAACAGGAAGGGAGAAAAGAAACAAATCAAATGTCGTGAAGAATACACGTGTCCCTGAATGCTTAGGAGGACGAGCGAAGTAATCACTCTGGATCCATCAATGCTTGAGAAAGCGCAAGGGAAATCTATAAATAATTTTATTTCTAGATTGGAACAATAATGTAAATAATGAAATCTTCAATTTTATTTATCAATCCAGTAAAATATAGATAATGCATCCCGACTGCGGTTCCACAAAATCATCGAATTTCGTATACACGATCTATATTTTAACAATATCATTTTTTTCTAAAAATCTAATCTCGTCGCGTGATTAAAACTTTAATTTTAATTATCCTTTTACAGCGACGATTGGACGATAGATCGTGAATTATATAATTGTTACTAAACTTGGTAAGCCGAATCGCCGCGCGAATGAAATTTTCATTTTCTCATCGCGATGAAAAATACTCGCGCAAAAAATATTACCGTCTGCGCGTTATCTCGAAACTCAACCCCGCTTCTGTGCCGCGTGTATGTACGAGTACAACCGGCCGAGATACGCTTGCAGCCAATCGTTCGAGCGGTTTCGAGTTTGACCGCCTCTGACATCACTACGAGCTATTTAAGCACAGATAGGAAACTTTCCATGTAAGTCAGTGGCGTCCGGGGAGGAGTAATTCACGATACTCGTGCCGCGAGCGCCGCACGAATAGTCGAACAAGCAGGCGTACAGGTGTTACAGGTAACCGCCAGCACGAAGGCGCGATCCGGATGGTAGTTTGACGAAAATTTCGCCCTGGTACCGCAAGACGAAGGATGCGGTGCGGGACCGGCGGTCTTGCTTTCGCAACAGCCCCGACGAAAATTTCGACTGTGTTAATAATACAAGTTAATTAACAGCGTGTAGAATTTTGGTGCCATGTTCTGAGACTATTTTCGGGTGTTTTCCGACGCAAACGAGAGGAATGCTCTTCGTAATTGGATTGGTATCAGCTACGATCCTTGATAACTTGCCAACCTCTTATTATGTCGGTAATTCGTATACCTATCGCGCGCAATAAAGCATTTTGCGTGCAGGGAAACAATGCGCCCGCGAGGTATCAAAAGGGCACGTAAGGGGGGTCACGCGGAGAATCCCCGGTCGTGTACAGTTCGTTCCGACATGCGGATGGGTGGAAGGGTCGGGTCTATCGTGGCGTGTAAACGCTGGCAATTGAATATCGGAAATAGCGGCGTGTCGGAACGTCAGAAGGTGAGTGGCGAGCGTATTGCTTCGAAGATAGGCTGCAGTCGCGGTCGGGATGTCGGATGTCCGTCCAAACGAAACAGGCTGCCCTATGAAAATTCACGATGGCGAACGGGGCTTTTGGATAAATCGATGGGCAACCCGACCCGATTCCGTAGCGCCTAGAATGGCCTTTAATCTTTTAACAATTTAAAATTTACCAATGAAGGGAATTAATAATCGACACAACTGGCAAATTCTAATTAAAGAAAGAGTGAGAACAAGATTGGCCCCATTTTTTTCGCATTCGATTTTGGTCACGAAGTTATCAGCTTGACGAAACCTTTCGTTTGGTACCTACTTTGTGACCAAAATCGAATACGAAAAAAGTGCGGCCCTTTGCCTATAGACACTTGTTCTCACTCTTTATTGCGAAAATTATTTCAGCCAGGGTTTGAACCTGAACCTCCCTACACTCTCTAGGCAGGCGTCTCATCAGTTTGATCGCTGAGGCAAGTAATTTCAAATTTAATCCCAAAACTCACATTTGCGAAGGCATTTTATAATTGATCGAATGCTATAATCTACTTGAGACGTCGAGTAATCCGTTGCTTTATACGGCGCGTCATCGTACAATAGTCACGTTTTTCTGCAATTATTACGTATAATTAAGGACATGACCTTAAAGACCATAATGGCCTTACATACCTCGAGCTAAAGTTCATCCGTTCTCTCTCATAATTATTCTCGGGGACGCACACGGGCGCATCCGTAGGACAAATTGAACCGGTGAACCGAATGGGAAATAAACTGGATTAACGCGGATGCGCAAAGTTAAGCCGTCGGTCACGATATCGTGCAAGTGAGAAAGTCCCGACGCGAAAACGTTACTCGATACCATCCGGAATAACGACGAGTGAAGCACCTCTGAAAATAGGATTACCGCACCCTCTGTATTTTGTATGGAGTGTAATCGATATATTAGCGGATCCTTCGGTATTAACCGCAATCTCCCTCTTTTTCTCGTAATATCCGCTAAATATCAGCTTAACGTACGCAAACTAAATTATCAAAACGCTCGCTGGCGAGGTACTTGACCTCTCGCGTTTGTAAGCGACGCGGATTGCGCCGCCGGTAACAGCCGGATAATTAATTACGCGAGAACATAATAAACAGGGCTGTGTTTGCACGCTTTTAACTTAATGCGCCATTGTAATATCGAGTGATCTAACATAATCCACGGTGAGCTCTAGATAAGCGGTCTTTTCGGTCGCTAGGGAAGCTAATCAGAAAACTAAGTTCTTGACAACGCGGCAAATTCAACGTAAACGTGCGTGCCAAGAAAGCATCAGAGAGTTACGCGTTTTGCGATAATCACCTTAACTCGTGACACGAAGTCTTTGTTCACAACTAAGTCATAATTGGGAATAATGTGTTGCTTCTTTAACCAGACGATGTTTGACGAAGATAATTGTTACACGGAAGTATAACAATTAAACTTGTACCTCTACATTTTGCTTATAGCACAATGGTAATTTCTCATTACAAATGTTTTGCGAAACGATGTAATGCATTTTATTAATTTCTGCGAAGCTTGAGAAATGGTTTTGCAACTGTTTCCATTGTTCACAAACTTCCTGGAAGAACGGAACATTTCCAACGAACATTTTCGCGTGACAAACGACATGCTGGAATTTAACGGGTTAATTTGTAGCATCTAAGTTTCACATCGGCGGGGGTTGATGTGTCCTCACAAATTATGATGTTTGGTACATGACACGGAAGAGGAATTGTTAGAATTGTATCATTTGCAGATACAAGTATCTCGAAAATACAAAGGTATGTTTCTGCTCCGGGACGAGCGACCGCGGGGAAACGAGAAACCGCAATTACTCCACGCTGCTCCAAGAGATAAATTCTTTTCGCGCAATCTTTAATCGGAATTCAATACCAACCGAAAATACAGCTGATTGTTCGGTACCGGTCCATCCTTTTTACACGTTTTATCCCAAATGTCTCCTTGCTAACAGTTGCGCAAATTACGCGCTGTTGTACGCACGTACAAATGCATTGTCAAGTCCTGAACCTTGGCAAAAAGTAATATTTAATTTATCGAGTGTTTCGTACGGAAAAGGTTTTATCTGTTAATGTAACAGTAAAGATTCCTCGAGGGAGTGACCGCACTGGTAGTTTTTCCGAAGGGTTACTACGTGCAGCGTAACATCCAGTAAATTGAGGAATCGTGTAACGAAGTCCTTTTCCTAGAAAAGTACGCTGTGCACGGAGAAGTATTCTTTGCCGAAAGAAATGTCCAATTCCGAGGTGGACATCGCTTTTGTAAAATCTCGTATCTTTTCTTTCCAGGATACATTAAGTTTCTCGAAGTGTACAGTCGACGCTTTAAACGGAGATCAAACGGTCTTTGTAACAGATAAATGGTGTTGTGTCAACGGCTACAAGAAAGGAAGACAAAAGAAGCGTGAATATAAAGACAAACGGTACGATATGTTTTTACAGAGCTTCCTTACGGAGTAGAAAAATATGTGTTTCTTCAATATTCGAACAAAAAATATATATAATTCTCCTTCTATAATATTACACCTAATAATAGTCACATGATGAATCGTCGATTGTTGTGTAGAAAAGTGAAAAAGTGCCAAGAGGCGTTACCCGATACGATCTTTGTATGTTATAAAATAATTCAGCAGAAATTACTATTTTATAAGCGCCGGATAAGAAATGTACAAAGCAGCGCGATGAAAGTCGACTTCGTTGGATAAAACATGTATATATTATAACGCTCGTTAATTGCACGAAAAGAAAAAAACGCATTGAAACTTAATTCTCGAGTCTGGTATAATAATAGTTGGCTTAACGTGCGAGAAGTTAAGAAATACGAATGATATAGCACGAAAAACGCGAGGCAGCCAACGAGGCAACGAGGATTGCGTGCTCAACTATCCTAACTATGTGAAACTGACTAGCGGAATTTGCTTGCACATTGTTTTACGCCGAGTATGAATTTTCACGAGTGGTGGCATAATAGAATTGTATCAAAGTTCTATTGCGCCGATCGATAAATTATAACTTCGTTGATAATAACGAGAGCATCATTTTAATATTCTTCAATAATCGCGATATGCAGTTATTCATTATTAGCTACACAAATCTATTTTAAAATATTAAATGAAATTACATTAATACGGGAAATGCAATTTATTCGTGCGATCATTCGCATTAATCGATTCATGTCGAGCTATCTAAAATATTGACACGGTGCTCTGCGCATGACGGTTGAATCAATGATATGCTGGCGTAAAAGTGAACATTGAAGCGCGATAAAAGTGTTGATGATCGCTACAAATAAGTGACGAGAACGTAACATCAATTATGTTTAAATAACGAGGATTAAATATTTTTCTAATTGCACGGAAAACCAAGTTAATCGGTAAATTTTATTTTTATAATTATTCGTATAACTCTTGTAAATGTTAATTTTTCCACGCTAGTTAAATTTAAAAAAGAAATATAAAAGAATGACATATTAACGTTGCACACCAATTTTTAACGTAAAAATTTTACCGAGCATACAAGATACGAACCTATCACCGTCAACTGAATTCTGGAGTTTCTAGTCGGACTTGTGGTAAAGTCCACTCGGCACCTGAATTCGCCTTCGTCCTGATCCTGTACGTTGTTAATGCTCAAAGTTGCTGGTTCCGTTGTTGTCCTGAACAACGCCCGATCGCTGAGATATTCTTTATCCTGCCAATGCAACGGTTTTTCCGAGTGCTTGCTGCGCAAGTCGTAACTGAAACAGATCAACATTTCCCTTACTTACTTTACATTCCTCACTTGTCACAGCCGTAAGACAAAGAATTGACATCGCATTGCACACTGACGTTGGCGCAGATACATGCAAGTGGTATGGGATATTCTAACCAGCTCTAAAGCTAGCACACTATGCGCAATTCGTGACTCACAGAAATTAGTTGAACATTAATGCGTTATTACTTACCACACTATTCGTGATTCGTAGTTTATTATTCGTAATTTGTTATTTGCCGTTTCGTTCGTGTTAGCTCGGGCAACTTTTAATCTTTACCTGTTTATTACAGGACTTGTATCATAAGTCTACAATTAGTCAAGTTTCAATATTAGTCAAAAAACCGCTCGGCTAGCGAATCACTGCGAATGGCGAATTGCGCACGGCGAATCGACGAATTTTTCCTTCACATTATTCACGAACATGCGAATCACGAATCGTACATAGTGTGGCGCTAGCTTTAGATGTGTGCGAAATACCCCAAGTGTCCCTATTTATTTTGATTTAAATCTTTAAATTAATCGCACAGAGTGCACATTATAATAATATCAAGGTTGTGCCGTAAATTTCAAGATTCGGTTTTTACATGACACGTTAAACCCAATTTACATTATACGAGTATACTTGTAGATTATTATATTTTACGTATAAACGCTCAACCCTGCATACAATATTATATCGATGCCGTATAAATTTTTCTGAGGATAGATCCCTCCGATAATGATATTCTTGGGAGAGATGAAAAGATTTTAACAACTCAAAACTTAAATCCACGTTCCACGTTGTTAAGAACATTCCATTCAAATAGATTATTTCGGTTGCAAACTCGGTTAAGTACTTTCTTTCGCGTTTCTATATTATAGGATTAAGATAAAATTTTACCGAGAATTCTGTAATCTAGAGAAAGCGTGTAATATCTCGTATAGCGAAAATCGCTTCACGAATAACGCGTGCTCGAGCATGACTGTGCCATATGTCGCTTTATGTTTTTTTGCTAGTCCGCGCCGAGAGTGGCGCGGATCACGATGAAAAATAAAGTGAAACAAATGCAAAACTTCAGAACTAATATCGCGACAGGAAGGGAATTTCGTTAACTCTCCATTTTTTTAATGCACTGAACGCCTCGCGCATATTTGATGTAGACGACGAAGTTGGATAATAAAGGACGCGTACGACATAGTAGAGGAGCATAATTTCACTAATTAATGTAATACGATATGAGTCCGCGTTTGTGAGATAAATTTCACATTTAAAATTATTTCAACTTTATGGTTAGCACTAAAAAATTATAATATATTTAATTGAATACAAAGTTCGTCTCTCTGTCGTGTAAATCCTATTATAATATTCCTGTCACGCCGGGATAATATCGGCAACGAATTTATTTCAAACATTTTTTTTTATAATTTCGATTTTGTAATTTCGCCACGAAGTTAATTGCGTGACAAACCATCAATATAAAATTATTATGTTTCCCCAAACACGCGTCTGAATTTTTACCCTACTTAAATTTTCTATTTTCATAAATATGTAAATGCCAACTGAATAGGATTTTTGTCGTCGATGACGTATAAAACGACGCGGCAAAAATCATGAGTCGTGCTGTACGCTCGGAGTGTTAATTAAGAATGTATCGGCCAGCCGGTCGTTCTCCACACTCGGACGATCGGTTTTACAAGGGTAGCTGCGCTCGCAGCCGTCCCGACGTTTCACCGCAGGTCGCCCCGCAGTGCAATTCTCCCTCGCATACCACGCCCCCGAGACATCGGGTGAGCATCGAATTTGCGGAAATGCCACGAGTGCCTCGTCTGGTACCAGATTCGGCCGCGCGTAGAGTTGGAACGGATGGCGGACCACGGGAGAGAACCGGCCCCCCCCTGGTGGATGGTCGCGAAGGGATGAGCGGCGGTTAGGGTGTCGACGGGGGTGGATGCGGCGGAGAGGGGACGGGGGGTCGCCGGGTTTACATTCCTCCGGTGTATTACCCGGAGAGCTGGTACACCCGCTAGCTGGCAAAGCGTATACCCGTTGCGCGATCGCATGCTCTCGCATATGCTGGACCGAACAACAACAACCCTCTCCCCCTCCCCTTCTTCTCGCTGCCGAGGTACTTCCGCGGACTACGCGCATTCCCCCGCTCTAGTTGCATCGGAACACGTATGCGATGTAACACGTGTACGCGCGCGTTTACACACGCGCGCCGCCGCACGTTCGGCGAGCGGAGCGGTGGCGGATGAAAGTTAACCGAAACGGGAAAGTTGGCACTACGCAATGGCGCGAGCCGACGATATAGAGCGAGAAACGGACCCTACCGTACATGATCGCCGGCAACGGTCGGGGTCGAGGGTTCCAAACAACCGTCTGCTAGGGGCTAGACCAGCCGGAACGATTACTTATACAGCTCGGTGCGCCGCCGTGCCTGCAAATTGCACCGCACGTAGCACGTCGTTCGAAAGTTACGGAGCGCCGTAAGGGCGTGCAAGCGGGCCAAGGGATAGCGTATATTACCCCTTGAATTTGTCAAGAGTACTTACGTACACAGCGACGGTTTTAGGTATATTGGCGTTGTAAGCGGGACTTTTCGATATCCACTCTTCTTTTTTATTCAAGGTGCATATCTTTATATCTCGAGCAATTGAAAAAAATATATATGTGTATACTATTATACAGCTTATATATTATGTATATAATATATAAATTGTAAATATTATAGATAGAATTATATACGAGAAGGTAATTATAAAAATGCATGTTTAAATTCAGTTGAACTGAAGCGTGGAAAAATATTTCTTGCGCGAAAAAAATAAGAAATTAATATTAATGAACAATCGTTACAATTGATAGAGTTGCAACACTTTTTCATTCACAAATTCGTAATGTACGTAAGACTAAATGCCTGATTACAGACGTTGCAACGCATCGCGATGTCGTGTTAACGGCGTTGTATATGATACTGCGAGGTATAACAGATTAGTGGTCGGACGTCCGTATCGGGACGTGGTTATGCCTGTCACAAGCCAGGGCGACCAATTATGGCGCAACATCTCGTGCTCTCCATCAGAATGTACTATGTAACGTTTCCAGTTGCGCATGTACACCGCGATTGTGCATGAAAGTTGGCTGGGAGTTTGAGATCAATCCCGCGTATAAGCAAAATACAGAGAACCGGGGGAATTGTGGTAGTGAAGGGACAAACCGCGTTTAGGCGAAATGGGTTTCGCGTTACTAAATACTTTCTTCTCTCTGCGTTCTCTCTTCTCGCCTCTGCCTCTGTCTGTCTGTCTGTGACAGAGAGAAGTTGATGTTGATGAAAATATCTTTCGATGTTGATGTAAGTCTCTCTCGGTGTTGGTGTTGATGAATTGTCTCTCTCGATGTTGATCTTGATTAATTCTCTATCGATGTTGATAAATTGTCTCTCTCGGTGTTGATGTTGATGAAAGTATCTCTCGATATTGATGTTGGTGAAAGTCTCTGTCGATGTTGAGGTTGATGAAAGTATCTCTCGATATTAATGTTGATGAAAGTATCTCAATGCTGATGAAAGTTTCTCTCGATGTTGATGAAGTCCCTTGATGTGGGAGTCGATTAATTCTCTCTCTCTCTTTCTCTCTCTCAATGTTGATGTATTGTCTTTCTCAATGTTGATGACTTATCTCTCTTGATGTTGATAAATTTTCTCTCTCGATATTGATGTCGCTGTCTCTGTCACAGTTTAAACGAATATCCATTCGGAAAAAGAACAACCGCAATAAATCACCCCCTTCGATCGCGCCTGAAAACGAGATCTCGTGCGTCTCCGCGACTCGAATCTTCGTCGTGCTTAAAAATGAGAACGCGTTGTAGTATTGCCGACCATCAGGCTGCCGGATATACATATAGCCGTACGGTGTACTTTGTATACTTCGAAATGTGAAATCAGTAGGTATGTTAATAGAGGAGACACGATAGCCGCATAGCGTGTGATTATGAGATACGGTAGAAGAAACAAGCATACATTACGACACCGACGAACATTTAACGGCATGTCACGCACGATCGTTTACCCGTATAATAATTTATGCTTGGAACTTTACGTCCACTATTTCTGTCCTGAATTTTAAACACGATTTTTCAAAAGAAAATCCCAACGTTGAGTACAAATCTAATATTTGAATTTTATAATTATTACTTTAGTTGTTTTAAACAGACAAACATTGTAAATATATTAAAAATCTTAAAGCCACAGGTAAAATCATTCATCAGAAGAAAGTGTTTGTTAAAGTATACGGTAAGTTTCCTCCGGAAGGCTTTATCATTCCGACCCCGAGTTAGCAGCAGCGTCGCTTCCTCCCGCGAATCATGTATGGTTCTTTAAAACTGTAAGTTCTAATTTTCAAAATGCTCGAAGTTTATGGTGCAGACGCCATCGGGTTCCCGTCAAGTTTAAACATCGCCGGGGAGCGTTACAAAAATGCGCGACTATTTAATGCGTATAAATTCGCCATAGCGCGCGTAGCAAGAAGTTCCGACGGCGGAAAGTGGAGTCTGTTTGTGCGCGGCATTTCCGAAACTACCGTGAAAGTTTCGAGCTGACGTAGAAGGTGGAAGGCAGTTTGCAATGGTAGTGGCAACGGCGTTGGACCGGGCCGCAGCCGTAGCTGTAGCTCTGCGGCGCTTCGTCGTAAATTCCTACAAATGCTGTAACAGGTCGGCGCGCTACTACGACGCCCCGACGCTCGTTCGTCGTTATTACGGCGCTGTACGTCGTTATGAATTTTATGATCCCGTGCTATAAGTAATGCCGGAATTTATAATCCCGCGCGCTTTGAAAGACACCGCGGCCTTTGCGAAATTCGCCCGCGCAGTCGCTGTGCAGCTGAAAATTTTTGGATTATACAGCGAACTGCTGACGAAAAGATCGCGCGTGCTCGTTGCCATTCGACATTAATGAGCAGCTTCGTTCATGCGAACAGCCGGACTTTCTGCAGCCCTTCGACTGCAAA